TGTAGATCTTGTGGGCTATAGTTTTCTGCATGAGAGTCCGGTGTGGTTGGTCAGAAACAATCACATCAACAAAGCCAACGAGGTGTTCAGATGGTTATGGGGACCCAACCATCAGGTTGAGGTAAGATACACAATCATTCTGTACCTCTACTGAAAACAAATTCAGGTGGTACATTACAGAGCGATGTATGGTGCAGCAGTTACTTTCATTCAAGAGCCTATAGTAGTAGATGTGCTATGATGAAAAAGGAAATTGAAAACTTTTTAATTTCATAAGGAGAATGGAAAGTTCAGGAAAGATCTTGTGATGCCTACTTTCCATTAAATGTCTTAATTTTTATTCTATGCTAGGGAAAAGTAATTTATAGGTCCAGATATCTCGCCACAGCTCACAGTTCAGAAGACACGCACACAAGTTCTAGACATTCCTGATGCTCATATTTGGTGAAACTGAATCACTGCTTCAGCTATCTTTAACTTTGGGGTCCCTGCATGCAAAGGATGTGATCAGAAGAGAAAGCATGGAATTAGGTAACATAAAGCACCACAGTTGTGAATGTTCATTCATTATAGACAATGCCTATAGATGTTGACACTCATTGTAAAATTAAATTACCAAACAAGAATGTTTATTAGCAACTTCAATGAAGGTGCTTAAACTTATTTATATATGCATGTGAATTAATGCTGCTTTTGTTGGATTTATGATGCAAATAGATCTTATGTAAGAGAGATTACTGAAAAATGTTTAACTTATTACCAAGGAAGTTGGCTCAAGCAGTGACTCTTCTGACATGCATTCTGGAAGTGTGTTTGAATCTCAGCTAGGTCACCAATTATCCTCGCTGTGGATTTTCATAGTTTTCTTCAGTCTCTTATCAGGCACATGCCAAAATAGCACCTCAAAGGAAGCTATGGTCGTTTCCTATCACATCCCTTCCAACTCATTATTCACTAATCAGCATACCATTCAACACACATAGTCTGAGTTACTGACAGCATTATTAAACAAATCACAAATAGAATGAAAGTCTTCTTGGACAATCAGTCATGACAGGGTGGAGTGAATGGCAAATATTTCACAGACTGTCTCTGTTTCCATCATCAGGGGGTGACATGATATATGTTGTGTTCGTGCATTATACAGAGTGGGGCATATTAACCTTTCTGATTTCACAAGGTCATTGCTGAGGCTAGGGAAGGGGTAGAGTGGTGGGGATGGTATCATTAGACGCGTTATAGCGTGCAGTTTTCAGTACACACAATCGCTTGGTTGGGAGAACATCGTGTGTTTGTGCTGGAAGAGTTTATTAAAAACGGCGGTTCTGTGATCAAAACCTAGCACTCACTTTGCTCTCGGTTGGCGTGATCCCATTCCCACTGGACCAACAATTAGAAATTGGGCATCAAATTTTAGAGCGACCTCTTCTGCATTAAAAAGAAAATCTTCAGGCTGGACCAGGACTTCAACTTTGGCGGCGAATGTGGCTAGAGTGCGGGCTTCAATTTTGCAATTCCCAAACGTTCTGCACGGAAGCATGCCACTGCACTTGGATTATCTGCCCATAGTGTTAGAAGAATCCTTCATAGAGACCTCAAAATGCACCCATACAAGATGCACATAGTGCAAGAGTTAAGTGAAAGAGACTTTGAAACACGAAGAAATTTGTGCAACGACATTCTGCAGAGTATCCCTTCCACAGCTGTTTTGATCTGTAGTGACGAGGCCCATTTTCACCCCTCTGGAACTCTAGATAAACAAAATTTCTGCTACTGGGCTGAGGATAACCCTTAGAACCTTCACCAACGACCACTCCACAGCTCTCGAGTGAGGGTGTGGTGCGCTGTTTCCAATTGTGGTGTCTAGGGTCCCTACTTTTTCGAAGATGGTGATGTCATTACAGTGACTTTTGCTTGATATTGTTACATGCTTGAAAATTTTCTTCTACAGAAATTGGATGAATTATTGCAAGGTCATGACCTGGAAGATATCTGGTTCCAACAAGATGGTGCTATGGCCCACACCTCATGTCGTTCAATGGAGATTCTAAGACAAATGTTTCCTGGTTATCTTGTCTCTTTGTGGCATGACATCGGGTAGCCCCCCAGATTGCCTGATCTAACACCATGCGAATTTTCTGTGGGGCTACCTCAAGGCAAAGGTGTACACACATAGTCCCCGAACTATTGATGAACTGGAGGCTGCCATCACCGAAGAAATCAACGCTATTCCACGGAATATGACTCATAGTCATGGAAAACTTCTGAAACAGGCTCCATGAGTGTATGGAAAACGGAGGTGGCCATTTGGAAGATATTATTTTTAAACCCCATTAAAATAAAACTGATTTCTATGTCCTTTCAAATAATAAAATAATTTTGCCTGCATCTTTCTTTATTTCTATTCCACGCATTTTTGAAATCAGAAAGGTTTATATGCCCCACTCTGTATTTATACACAAAGCTGTCATCTGTGCCATCTTGGACTGCATGAGGCAGTCTCTGAAACATCAGGCACCAGGTCCACATTGACACAAGTGATCACACAAGAACCTCACTATATACTGCCACCATGAATGCTTCAAATCATGTATATACTATAAATAAATAAAAACATTTTAACTTAGATGCACTGTAATAGGTTTACAGTTACAGAATTCAGCTAAAACACAATGAAATGATGGTATAATTACAGTACACTCTAGATGTAATTCCTGAATGATATAAAATTCAATTGGGAATAGTCTATCATGTGGTTTCTTTATAGGTAGAGACTGATCTACAAGAACTCTTGAAAAGAATAAAGGATGAAGAGAGAGAACACACTAACCAAATGAATAGAAGTCTGGCCTTTAGTCAGAAATGGAAACAATATCTGAGACCTCAAGTATACAAGCCATTCATTATCATCCACATATTCAACATTGTGCAAATTGTCTGTGGAACCAATCTCTTTATATTCTATTCTGTGGATATCATCTCAGGGTTTAAACATGATGGAAGTCTAGACATCAACTTAACTACCATTTTAACGTCAACAGTTAGAGTTGTGTTCATGGCTGTCTCTTGTGTAATGTTAGTGTGGTTTGGACGTCGAACAGTTTGCATTTCTTCAGGTCTTGGTTCAGGTGTTAGTGCAGTATTGATTGGTACATTTGTTTACATGCAAAATATTGAAGCCTGGATAATAATTGGCCTGGTACTGGTATATGTGGCTTTCAATACATATGGATATTTTGTAATGCCACCATCAATGATTGGAGAAATATTGCCATCTAAGATTAGATGTTTTGCTGGGGCTTATATTTTCACCATGAATGATATTGGTATGTTTTGTGCAACTAAAGCATTCTCTTCAGTTGCTAGAGCAGTTGGTATTCATGGCATTTTCTGGATATTTGGTGTGTCTTCCTTACTATGCTCATTGTTTTTATACCTACTGTTACCCGAAACAAAAGGGCGCTCTCTTGTGCAAATAGAAGAATATTTCCTACAACCAAATATTCTATGGCTCACAAGAAATAAATGGCGACAAACGAGCAATACAAAGATATAAGGAGGCAAGTTTCATTAAGACTGCAGCTAACAGCTGGGATTCAACGTAGATAACCACACATGCAAGTCAGACATATTGGTGCTGTGCAAACCTTCATGGTGTCTTAAGTGGATGTAAACACAATCATATTATTAACCAAAAAATGAATCAGTGATAAGTAATGCGCTCCACGATAGAGTAAAGCTGGTTATTTATATCAGGTATTGTAACCAATCAACCACCAAAGAAATGAAAAATGCTTATGTACAATAAAATGCTAGAACAAGTTAATATCTTTCACTGTGTCATATTGTATTATATCACATGAAGAAGAATGTGTCTTTAAAAATATAAATATTTACACAAGCAACTGGAGAAATAAACCAGGATACAGTTCTTCACTAATACAAAGCAGGCTAGACTCAACATTAACAAAAATCTGGCCATCACAAACGCCACTTATGAAGAGAACTGTGTGTACATTATTAGATCATAATAAAAGATTATGACTCTTCAGAAAAAATAAAAATTGAATCATCATACTTATGCAGAATTACGAAACTAACTGGAAACAATATTGTCACATGTAATATGTGTGACTGCAGATGAGGTTTGGATTGGTGAATGGATTTATTAACCCCTTACAGGTTGTAACTACAAATAACTATGACACTATCACTATCTCCATACTTTACAGTTCACTAGAGCCCATAGTCTTTTGTTCTCAGTCTGTTACTAGACATTTCTTTGTAACAGCTCTAACAATGGCTATTCTTCTGCGTCTGGCTCAAGTGACCTCCTCACAGACTCCCATACAGAACTCAACTGAACTGACTAATCTCCAAACTTCCAGGTTTCAACATCTTGGCATGGATCACATAGAAAACACAGTTTTTATATTGTTTTGTGCATGTATGTTACAGGCGTTACCTATCAATGACCACTGTTTACACAGTCACCACTTAACAATGGGTCTATACACCACAATATACAAAATGGAATGAAAAACAATAGAGTACCAAAATAAATTACAACACATAAGGTAGTGAAGAGACAAATTTTGGAAGATTCCTTAAGATATGGCCTGAAAATATTACAGTCCATATGGACTAATGCCTAACATGAAGATGAGAGTAGTTGAGATTTAATAACATCTACATAAATTTATTCCCTTCAAGCTACTTTATTTGATATGGCATATACTCGTAGTATATCCACATTTTTTCTCCCTCTCTATGGCTCTACAGCACTTTGGACCTTTCCCACTTTTTCAGTTTATTGTCTATATAGTTGGTAGGATTCCTTGGACAGGGGATCAGCCTGTCATAGGCTGCTACCTACACACAGAATAACACAAACACACAATAAATGCACATAGGCATCCATGTCTCCAGTGGGATTCGAAAAACCACAATCCCCATGTTCAAGTATGTGAAGACGGTTTGTGTCTCCGACTGCACAGCCACAGCAATCGGCAGTATAGCCACATAAGAGACATAATTGGTGACAACCAGTTGTATTTATAATTATGCAAATATTTTAATGACTTCCTAATAACAATAATTATTTGTTTCATAATTACTGAGCTTCTGCTGGTTCAATTAAATGTGAAACAATTTATAGAAAATTATATTATGATATGGCAACACATATTTAATGTATAGTATTCTGGGTTAATGTTCTATCACCTGACACTGAGTATATATATTCTGAGTGGTTAGTCAGTTTTCAAAATTTTAAATGACGATGACGATGATGTTACCTCCTCTGCCACAACCACTGCTGCTACTAGCAATTGTGATAACAACAATATAAAGAAGGAGGAGGAGAAGTTGGTTTGCTTGGAGGTACAGTCTAGTACACAATACCCTACCAAACCAAAGAACCAATCCAAAATGGAGAGAACATATGCTTGTATAAGATAAAAGCTTCCTCTTTTGAAAAACACATGAAAGATATCATAAAAAAATATCATTTGCTAGACAAATATTCTCACATTATAATTAGGTTGAGAAAGTTGAAATGAATACTTGAATGTGCTCAAGTGAGTGCTGAGAGAAACGTCTGTACAAATCACTGCAGAAACATTTATTCCACCATTAACTGTCATTAACATTAAGAGTGCAAACCACATTAATATAAATCTGATACTTATGAAAACAAATGAAAAACTACTGGCATTGAAGAACCATAAAAAGGATATTAAATGTGTATGGATCCCAGTACATATGGGTATCATTGTCAACAAAATAGCAGATGTGTTGGCAAAAGAGAGTATTCAGAAAGGTGAAGATGCTCAATATTTGATTCCTGTCACAGACTTCAAGAGCTATTGGCAGACCAAACTGAGAGTAGCAGCCAGAGAACCAGGAAAACATAAAGGAAGGAAGTACTTTCAGTGATACTACCAAAACAATGGAAAACCCTGGTTCCAGAGATGCCTGTTTCAAAGAAAATCTATTGTCTCAATAAACAGAATAACAGGTGGCTATCATTGTCTAAATGAGTGCCTTATTCAATTTAATATCATTAATACAGAAATATGTGACTGTGGTGATGCCAAAGAAACTACAAACCACATGATAGATGACTTAATGAAATGTAAAATATTTAAATCATATTGTAGAGAAGGCAATCTACACTATATGCTATCAGAAGTAGTAATCCTGGTAGTGCGATTTATCAACAGTGTTAATATAAGAATATGACTACTTTAATGTTAGCTCAGAGATAAAGCCTTGCTTTTATACCAGTATAACTAAAGAGCATTCTAAAACTGTATTTGCTGGGAAGATGGGCTCTTCAGCCTAACGCCACTTGCATCCCTTTCTGCTAAAAAATAAAAGCCCTGCCATGTACAACATAATTACCAGTTGTTGTGAACATTGTGAAGTACATATGTTCACATACAAAAATCACTTTCTTCCTCCCACAAACATAAACAAATGTGTTAAACTGGGGTATTTTAAACACTGTTAAACTGTTTCAGAACACAAGTGTTTATTAAAATTACAGAAAAATATCAGTAATTAACATCAGTATCAAGGTAGATGATTTGGTATAAATGAATGAATGAATGAATGAATGAATGAAAGAATAATTGCTAAAGGCGGGTCTTGACTAGCCCTTGCACCATGACTCACGAATTGTCCATCGACCATCCCCTTCTACTTCAAACCCTCAATAATCCTATGCTTTATGCAGTATCTTACTTAAAATGGTGCCTAGGTGAATGACTGTATAGGTCACTGAGTAGTATGCCAAGATGGCTGTAAACAGTGATGAAGTAGGTGACAGAGGTAGGTTTGAAATGGCTGAAAAAATAGCAATATGCAGTCTTGCATTTATGACTGCTGAAGTTGATGGTACAATTTTACTGGTATATCTGTGGGTTATGACCTCTAAAAATTTTCTATCTTTATCTGTTTCCAGCCTCTGACATCTCACATGACTAGATGCATAGAAGTTGCAGGGATGTACCAAATTTCCCATCCCAGCCATACTTGATTAGCCAGTCGGCAACTTGCATTAAAGCAAGCACCATGAATTTTAACTGATCTAAATTGCCTGACCACATTAACATGAAATCACATTTTTTTAAAACTTGCATGCAGGTATTCACCTCTAATATATAAATCACAAAACAATTGTGAATGTATGAAAATAATATATTTCATTTATTACTGCAACATGCTGAATGACAACAGTATTCCTTTTGTAAGAAAAATGCAACAGAAAATACATACTGCATATCTGTTATTATAATTAATCCTGATGTAAGGTTTTCATAATCCTCTTCTGAACATGATGTCCATCTACATGTACTTCTACATGTACATTTCCCAATTATATTCTGATGATGACAATTATGAGTTATGGATAATGAAAATGAGTACCTAGATACTTGACTGTAACTTGGGAATGGCCTATGTATTATGAGCAGAACTAAACAAGTAACCATGAACTGAGCAGGAGGTAATATACTTTTAGAGCTGTGTTGTGACAACTTCTCTAGCACTACTGTAAGTCATGTAGTCTGGCTGTAATCTTTACTCACTAAAGCTTCTACAGGAAGATACAGAATGAAATCAATATGTCAACAGCAAATGCTATAATTGCTAAATTATCATCATGGGTAAAGAAAGGATAATAACTGAACTGAAGTAAAATTGTCGACTTTTGTGTATGGGCAGTATGAGCTACTAATAATTGACCCTGGGCTAAGCACCACACCATACAAGCTAGTATGAGTGTAAAGTTCAATCTTGAAACGGTCTAAGCCTCTATAATAGAAAAAAAAATGAATGATCAACTTTAAATTCCTTCTGCTTTATGCCGGTACCAAATGGATAGGGGGGCTGGATAGGCTCTAAATTTTGTCAGAATTCACACTGAAAACATTCTTACCCTATCAGAATCTGAACTTTGCTCACTCTACTAACTCAGCTATCCTGTCTAACTCTGACTTGCACTGAGGTTTGCTTGCAGATATAAGATTCTGAAATAGTCTTGGAAGTTGTTAAAATTTTGGTCACTGTCAAAATGTTGTTAGTTCCATTTCAGTTTAATTGTGCACAGAGTAAAGAAGGAACTTAGACAGCTCAGTCAACACAGTGACTAGACTACAGGCTGGATGGCTAGGAAACTGGAATTCTGTTCTCAACAGAAGCATCCCATTTTACTTTCTTCTATGCCATCCCAACAGCCAGGCTGGCTCTGGGGCCCATCCAGCCAGTGTACTGATAATGGGGGTAGGAAACTGACCACTTCCACCTTTACAGAGTGTTGAGTTTAAGAATCTGAAGAGATATGTTTCTACCTCTCCAGATATATTTTCATGGCATAGCACTCAATTAAGAAGACAGATAACTTTACATTTATCTAACAGACTAAGATATATATGTTGGATTTCAGGTCCTCAGAGCAGTGTCTGTGAGGAGTACTATCTTCTGGGGTGTAACATCATATAAACTGTTAGAAGTTCTGTTGTTTCTGAGGAATACACTGGCTCCATCTTCAGGATCAAAGAATAAGCCGATCATGAAATCAGCAAGAAGAAGGTGGTTTGCTAGTTCCTTGTTTGGTTTACTCTCTGACTCTGATGATGGAGAAAATGTGTTCCTCTGAAATGTTAGTACACTTCTACCAGACTTCACAGCATTACATCCCAGGAGAAGGAGATTTCAGAGCTGCAGTATTTCAGGATTAAAGCAGAATGTCACAATGCACAGCATCAACTGTATCTGTAAATACAGGTAACTGAACATAGATTTTATAACTTTCAATCAAGAATTTATAAATAAGATAATTATATATGATATGCCAATCATTCCCAATAGAAATTAAAGTGTCATACTGCGCCTTGTCTCAGTATATCAGAAAAAAGAAAAGGCCAGGGCATGAAAATGCTTGTAAGATGTGAGAAATTCATAAAAACTTTAGACAAAACCCCAGAAGATAAGAGGTGCTTGGAAGACCTAAGCTTGTATGGGGACAGAAAAC